AATTTTTTTTTTTTTTTTTTTTTTTGGCAGGACTATGCGCTTTCTGGTTGGAACTTGAATAACATGCCAATTCTAGAACAGTCAGTCCTTGCTCACATCAATGCAGATATCTCTGGCATGAAGGTACCTTGGCTGTATGTAGGGATGTGCTTCTCCTCATTTTGCTGGCATATTGAAGATCACTGGAGCTATTCCATCAACTACCTGCATTGGTATGGGCTCTCCTTTGTGCATCTATCTTACACTGCCCTGTTTGCAATTTGTAGTTCTACTTGAAAATGCCTATGCACGCTGATGACATTTTTAACGAAAAAGCTAAATGTGATGAGCAGTCCATATTCTTAGCTGAGCTGAGGCTGATTAAAAGCGAATACAGATACTGTTTTTAAGCATGTCAGTGTTTTTCATTAAGTCATTAAACATTCTTGTGTTGCCAAAAACCCAGTGTCACTGTAAAATAATGCTTTACAGGCTCACATCCTTTCTAACAAAGCTTTTGGTTTTGAACTGATTTACAGTTTGCTGGTTCACTGCTTTATGATTTAAAGTTGGTATACCCCTATGCTGGAAATGGAGGCTGCTGCCTAGTGGCTTACACAGGCATCAGAGCTGACAGTTCAGTAGCAGGATATATGTGTACACAGAAATACTCCTGTTCAAGAGAAGAGAAATTTGAAAGTATTTCTGACTTCCAGAACAATCCTAGAAGTGTTCTGGTGTTCAGCTTTTGTGTTGGAAAAGAATCGTGACAGATGAACTATTTGCATTGCAGTCTTCCCAGTTCATCTGGCTCAGTCACTCATGGTGGATAGAGCAGGAGGGGAAGGAGAGGGAAAACCGTGGGAAGCGCCCCTTCAGAATAGAAAGTTTGTTGTACATCTGGTAAGGATGAGTTGATAGCCTTTAGGCTGTGCTTGCACATTTCTAGAGAAACATGTTTGCTAGCAAGATCTGATCCACAGGCTCAGGAGAGGGATTAATTTTGTTTTGAGTTCAGTTGCTGTCCTCAGCATGCTGTTAGATCAGTATGTGAGGGTTTTGTGTCAGCTGGTGAATTCCAGCAGCCCAGATAGAGAATAGTAATGTACTGGGGTTTACTAGCTGTGTCCTACCGGCAGGTGTCACTGAAGCCTGCAGGAACCACAGAAAATGCTGCACTCTGCCTGTGCCTCATCTAACTTTTGGGATGGTCGGTGACAAGACTATTAATACAGTTAAATAGTGCTATGTAAATGGTTTCAGATATTTTGGCAGACTACTGCTTGTACTTCTTAATAAAATAAAACTAAAAGATAAGCTTCAGCACTATAGATACTAGATCATTATAATTTATTTTGGTTAAGACAGGACTGGAGTAATATGTTCTCAAGTAATTTTCTGTTTAGTTTTGGTCTTGTTAATATCTTTCTTCCCTCGGACTTAACTAATTCATGTTACTAGGCATTTCTTATCTTAAGAGTCTAGTCGACCACTGGTTTTCAGTAATTGGTTATGTATATTAGATGGATTGCTTATATTTCTTTGCACTGTCTGATGTTTTATTCTTTCCACTTCTGCTTAGCTGGTATACTGTTCCATTGGTTTCAGGAATAGGACTGCTCAAGCCTAATTAAGTGAGCAGAGGAGTACCATGATCTCTTTTCTGTTAAACTTTAGCTGTGACGGCCAAGGTTTTGTTTGTTAAACTTACTTTCTTCTTCCTAAAGGAAAATAATTGCCCATTTTATCCCTTTAGAGCGTGGTAAATGACAATTATCTTCCACATCAGGCTTGTCATGGCAATTCTGCTGTTAGGTATGTTGAGAATCGTGTTGTAGCATAATTGATTTTTTTCAGATTAGAATGATACATCCTGAAGAAGACGGTTGTTGATTACGGATGTTTTTGTATCTATATGCAAAATTTTTTGCTTGTGTGGACAGTGGTGCTAGATTTGAGATATACTTTGCAGTTGGGTGGCACTGTTACCTTTCTTTAAGTAATGTGTTTATTACTGTGGTTGTGCTTTGTTAGGGGAGAGCCGAAGACATGGTATGGTGTGCCCTCTCATGCAGCGGAGCAGCTAGAGGATGTGATGAAGGAATTGGCTCCTGAGCTATTTGAATCCCAGCCTGATCTCCTGCATCAGCTGGTCACTATTATGAACCCCAATGTGCTGATGGAACATGGTGTACCAGTGAGTAGCACATGAGCATTTTTTACATAAGTATGCCTGTGCACACTCTTTTTTTCATTCTGTGCCAGACTTGTGCAACAATGGTTTGGCATAACTCCGAAGAATTTCTATAGTGGACATTTACATATTCAATTCATTAGTTATGGGGTGGTTTTTAAAGCTATTTTCTAGAATCTTCTCTATGCTCACCATGAAATTTAAATTATATCAGAAGTGAATGTGCCAAGCTCATTACATAAAATATCTTACAGAAAAAGTGTACATTGTGTGTTACATTTAATTTATAATTTAAAAAAAAATCCCACTGTGCTGTAGCAGCAAGTTTGTCTGTGAAATGTTTTTAATATCTCTTGACAGTAAAATACTTGTCTTATGTTCAGTAGAAGTCTCAGCATTACAAAATGCTTTTTTGACCAAACATAATTGACTGCAGACCTTTAAGCAGCATTCACTATCATTTGCTTTTGTCTTAGGATAAATTGTTTCCCTGGCAAATACCCCAACAAAGCAAACCATAAACTGTTTCCAGAAGCCTTAGCAGTTTGTGGGGTGATGGATTAAATGACAATAGAGAAACATCCCTTTTGGGATTCATATAGAGAATTTTCAACTGTTGGCTTGAATATTCTCCTTTTTTGAGTAAGGCTATAAATTGAAGATTCACATTAAGAAGACAGAACCAATCCTTACCACTTCGGGGGTAGCTGCATTGCCTGTGGTGTTCTATAGGTAAAGAAAGTGGTGTTCAAATGCCTTGTCATTATGTGTATTAAACTCTGTTGCAAGTTTCATATTTTTTCTATTTTTTTTCTTCTATCCTCACTTGTATTAGGTATACAGGACCAATCAGTGCGCTGGCGAGTTTGTTGTGACCTTTCCTCGTGCCTATCACTCTGGATTTAACCAGGGATATAACTTTGCTGAAGCTGTGAACTTCTGCACTGCTGACTGGGTCTGTTCTTTTGTATATGTTTGCTATGTCTCTGCTAGGTCACCTTTGCAAGGAGAGTGTTAGTAATTTTCTTGTCTGAATAGTAGTCTTTAATGCTGCATAATAAGTTTTATATCTATAGTTCCTGGTACAACAGTTGAAGACTGTGAGTTTCCATTACACAAAATAGTTTTGATGAGCACATGGTTTAAGCAGCTTCAAACTGAAACTCTGGCATGTGGTCGTCCTTTTTAAATACTGATCTAACCAAAAAGTGACATCTCACAGTACCTTTAGCTGGTATTTCTGTGATGACTCTTTCTGAATTTGATACAGATTAATGTACGGTCTTCAACAGCTGTTGTCATTTGAGTGGTGGAGGTAGGCATATAACAGTCTCTTGTTCTCCTTTTGTGCCAGCTCATTGCACCTTTAAATCATATTGGTGCTTGTTCTAATAGCCATGCCACAACAGGGTATAGCTTATGTGGATTCTTCAGTAAGTTGTCAGAAGCGTGTCCTATCACTACCCAGGGTTTACAGTTGGAAGTTACGATCTCATCTGTAGTTTATCTGTCTCTAATTTCTTTTTTGTTACCTTCAAATAGGAATTTTAGTTCTTAATCAGAGAATTTTATTCATTCATCAGAGAAATTGTCTGCAGGATTGACAGTGTGTTACTGGTATTCTTTTCTCCTATGCTCATGATATCATCTGTGTATAGCCTCTGAAAAACTGCTAAACTCACACCAGCCATGTGAAATTTCCTTTGCTTATGCAAAATGTAACCAGAAATCTGTATAGTAAATTCATCTAGCATTTTATATTTTTTGCTTTAAAAGGCACAAAATGAGTGATAGCAATTTTGGTTAGCTGGCATCTTGTGTTAAATATCCATGTCCAAGCATAGTAATATCCAGATGGCAACGCATTCACTTTAGCATAGACCAGATGACTTCTTGGTGCCAGTTTCTTTCCACTGGAAGTAAAAAGAGCTTGGGACAACTCTTAACCTTGTGTCTGAAAGTTAAGTGCATAAGGTTATGGCAGATGTCCCCCCCAACATGGATATCCTCTTTGTTCTCATCTGTGATATGATTTAAGGTTGTTGTAATTGGCTCTGTCCCATAAGATACAACTCTCTTAGTCTCAGTCTTTTCCCAGGTTTTGTCAAAGGAAGGAAAGTGGGAGCTAAGAGATCATCTTGAAATGTCTTTTCCCAGAATGATACATGTAATTTTTTTGTAGCTTCCCATTGGACGTCAGTGTGTGAGTCATTACCGAAGGCTAGGACGTCATTGTGTTTTCTCCCATGAAGAGCTGATCTTCAAGATGGCTGCAGACCCAGAGTGCTTGGATGTTGGGCTGGCTGCCATGGTCTGCAAGGAGATGACTCTAATGATAGAGGAAGAGACACGGTTAAGGGAGTCTGTTGTACAGATGGTGAGTAATAAGACAACACTCTTACTTTGCTTGCAAAAATAGTTTTGCTTCCCCCTCCCCCAGCCTGGATTAGAGTTTTTAGCAAGTGTCTGATTTTTTTTTCTTAGGGAGTGTTGATGTCTGAAGAAGAGGTGTTTGAACTGGTTCCAGATGATGAGCGTCAGTGCACTGCTTGCAGAACCACGTGCTTCTTGTCAGCTCTTACGTGTTCCTGTAATCCTGAGCGTCTGGTATGCTTATACCATCCGTCTGATTTATGTCCATGTCCCATGCAGAAGAAGTGTCTAAGGTACACAGGATTTTTTTTCCTTTTTCCACTTTTCTTCCATATCCATTAGTTTGCTGGAGACCAGTGACCAAACACAACATTTGGCCACACTTCTCTCTTCCTTTATTTAAAGAGTATTTTTATCCTCTTTGCTTGTTTCTTGGTTCCAAGGCAACAGGTATTACACATGTTCTGTCTTTCTGGCCTTGTTGTAGCTAGAAAAACTCAATGTAAGCAATACCCTGGCTTTTGTATGGGTGTTAATGGTCTTTCTGTATTTTCCTTCCATATCTCCAGGTACCGATACCCACTAGAAGACCTTCCTTCTTTGCTGTACGGAGTGAAAGTTAGAGCACAGTCTTATGACACTTGGGTCAGTAGAGTTACAGAGGCTCTGTCTGCCAATCTCAACCACAAGAAAGGTCAGACTTCTATCGTTCATAGTAGGATGTCCTGAAGCTCCTACATTTGTTTTGTGTTCTCATTTAATGAGAGAAACACTGTCTATTGTTTAGTGGAAAAAAGAAATGAGCTGATCTGAGAGTGTAATGCAACTCATCATTGTGCATTTCAAATTCAACTAGCCTGTTGGAACCTTGATTGAAGGCTTTGAAGCAGTCTAAAATCTCTTTTGGTTTTGCATACTAATTATTTATTTACTGTTGTTACAGATGTGATTGAGCTGAGAGTAATGTTGGAGGATGCAGAAGACAGGAAATACCCAGAAAACGATCTTTTCCGCAGGCTCAGAGATGCTGTGAAAGAAGCAGAGACCTGTGCTTCAGTAGCACAGCTGCTTCTGAGCAAAAAGCAAAAGCACAGGTAGGACAGGCATTGTTTTCAACAGTTTCCATCTGTCTGTTTTGTGCTTGATTGGACCTGGAAGTGTAAGAACCCTGAGGTCTCACTGCCTACTAATTTCTTTTAGTGTTTCCTGCCCTTAGTGCTGCGACTCATTGAGAGGTAGGGGAGGCAGATACAGTGATACAAAGGGCCAAAAAAGCAGACTTGGTTGGAATGTGTTAAATGTACTGTTTTCAGCTGACTTATGTACTAAAATGTGAAATCCTTCGGAGAAGTTGCGCAGTTGATTGCTGATCAGGTATTTCTCTGTGTGGGAGAGTTGCAGGGAAAGACAACTAGAGGAGAACACATAATGAAAGTGAGTCTTGACATGAATGTTTGTATTTTAGGTACTGTGGCTAAGTACGTAGCTTAAAGCTATGGAAAAAGAATCTGTTAAAACATTGGATTGCAAAGCAAAATGCTTGAAAAGTAGGAAATACCAATTACAGTTGGCGAGGCAAGTGCAGTTGTATCTTCTGGTACAGCACTTCTCAAAAGTATAATTTTGCCAGCTGTTGCCAAGTTACAGAATGTGTTGTGATGCTGGTGGAGTTACTGGAAGATGCAAAGGAAATGTGTCTTGCCAGCGTTGACTGGGACAAAAGGACCGTGGGGAGCAGTGCAGAGAGCAAAAACAGTCCATAGTTTGAGCCAGTCTTTTACTTCTTGGGAAGGACCACAGGAGTCAGTGGTGCATGGCTGAAAAGTAGTGGCTTGCCTCAGTGACTTCTGGCAGTGTTTAGACTCCCTTAGTTGTTTGTGTTGCCTGCCTTCCCTATGGCTGCCTCAGTGTGACTCTGTCCGCTAGCCCTACCTCAGCAATCTGCTGGATGTGTCCCCTTGTTCTGCTGTCATAAGCCTTCAGCAGTGTGTTCTTTATTCTCTCCTATGCATTCTGTGTATTAAATAAAAGTCCCATGGAAAAGAATTTGATCAGGTGACTGTAATTGTTGTACCAGCAGTTGTATGGTAAACTTCTATAGCTTGCATTTCCTGTGAATATAAGATTTGGGTTTGTAGTTGGTTGGGTTTTTTGCATGTATAGTTTTTGTGTAAAAATTATGACCTTTCAAGGAAGGGAGTAAAAAAAGTAAATACCTTGCTAACTATAATACCCAACTTTGCTACACAGAATATAATGCATATCATAATTGCTTGAATTTGAACACTGAAATGTTAGAGTAACACCACAGATCCAATTACAATACATGATATAATTGCAAAGCTATTATAAAATAGAGAAGCATTTTGCTGTATTTGAAGGGGAAAGAAGGCTCTCCTGTTCAGTTTTTATTGTTTGTAGAATCCCATTAGGACAGAGGTATGGTCACTTAGAACTATGGTCTAGCTGAGGGAAGCAATGCTACAGGGGTTGCGTTGCCCTTTTCATAGTGAAGTTTATTTTGGTAGCTCCCAGCTGTTCCTGGTCTGTTGCTGCTTCCTCCTCCTCCTGCTGTTGGAGTGTGTCAGCCTTCTCTCAACAGACTTGCCTTCAGTTAATTATTTGGTGGATTTCCAGGACTATCCCAGGAAACACAAGGGGTAGAAAGATTTGTCAACTTTCAATGGTGTGTGACTGATCTAAAGCTGAAAAGAATTCCATGGGGTAAAAAAAAAAGACTTGTATATACGTCTGAGTGCTGTTGTATGCTAAATAGCAGTATGTTACAAAGTTGAGGTTTGAGAAAGATTTTTAAGATCTCTTTGATGAACAGTGTTAGGAAATTTAAATATAGAGGTCACATTCAACTTCTTTAACATTTATGTTCATATTTAATACATTGAGAAGGATCACAATTACACAAAGATAAGGTTATTAAAAAGGCAAATTGAAAATGAGTCCTCAGAACAATTTGGCAGGGATTAAAGCAGCAATAAACTCATGGTCAAATGTATCAAAAGAAAATCTATCCCTTATGCATCTGATTTATTACATATAATAAACCTGAAAAACAGGTAAGGCGTAGCTGTGAAGGTGTGTCCAGTGTTCCAGTCCTGTATCTTTCCCTGCTGTTGAAAGCTGTGAGTTCCTGTAGGCAGGGATAGTTCTATCTTTTTGTGCAGCATCTTGTGCTGTGGCAGTCCATGGTTGGACTAGGGACAGAACGCCAGTGTGATGTTTCGGAGAGCATGGCCTCCTGCAGTGGTGTCTCTTGGAGTGCCACATCCCATTCACTCTCACACAGGAGTATTGGAGGCACAGGAGGTCCAGTGCAGCCACCACTCCTCCTCACTGCCTGTTGTAGCTAGTCAGAGCCTGCAGTGTTCTTTTTTTTCCCCTCTGAGTTTTAGATAGTGTGTAATTATATTTGGTCATTCATCTAGATTTTACTTTTAAAATCATACTTGAGTCCATAGGTTGAAAGATTGAGTTTTGTTTTCCTTTAATGTTTCTACAGTAATAAAATGTGGCTTCATTAGCAGGGAACAACTCTTCAGTGTTTAAAATCTGTCCTGCTTGTGAAATTGTTGTATCTGTCAGTGATATGTATACCCAGTGTTTAACTTGTGTGGTGTGTCCCTTTCAAGTCTTTCACTGCATTCGTTGGGCTTGTGGTACTTGCTGTGAATTACATTTAATGGAAATGTCTTTGCAGAATACGTCCTACTCAGTAGCAGTCTTTTCCTGTTGCCAGGCCAGTTTCAACATCTGTCTGGCTACAAGAACGCATGCTCTAGAAAATAAGGCTACTTTTCAGAGCTTGTTGCTGCTACATACCTGAGACTTCTTGTCAGAGCCTGTTGTAACAGTCAACTTCTTGAGCTGTCTAAAGCAAGCTTTTCGGGGCTATGTTCTTTTACCTATTTGGAACAAAGCCTAACTGAAAGTCACCTAGACATTCCTACCTCTGAAGAGCAGGGTAAATTCTCTTGAAGATGCTTAGAGAAATTAGTTTAAATTAATTTTCAAGATTTTGGAATTCTTGTGAGGTTTGGTTTTTTTGAGTTCTCAAGTGATGGAAATTTTTTTTTTTTTGTAACTTCTTAGTAATCTTGATACTTTTCTGTCACTGGGAGTAAATCCAGGGGTCATCATCTCTCTCATGTAATACTGTTTAATTATGTCCATTCATATAGCAGACAGAGCCAAGACAGTGGAAGGACACGCACCAAGCTAACTATGGAGGAGCTTAAAGCATTTGTACAGCAGTTGTTTAGCCTGCCCTGTGTTATCAGCCAGGCCCGACAAGTAAAGGTAGGTTTGCATCTGCTCCTTGGATATATCCTAAGTGTCAGGCTTTTTGCTTTGTTCTGTTTTTTTTGTGGTGTTTTTTTTTAAACAGATAATATTGCCTGATGTAAAGGATGAAAGGTGGGTTGTGGGTGGTTTTTTTGTTTGGTTGTGGTGTGGTGGGGTTTTTTTGGGTTTTTTGGTTTTTTTTTAAGAATTGGTCCTGTACTGGAAGAGATGGATTAAATGGGGTGTTTCATTTCTAGCTTCTAATATAAAGCAAGTAGCTGCTTTGCAATGATATCTGTGGCCTCAAGAAAGGAAATAAAATACTCTGGATAGATGTAGCTCAGTGTCTTCTTGCTTTACTGACTAATCTTGCTGTTGCCATTGAAGTTTCGCTGATGACATGTTGCTGTCTGTCCATAATGGAATGGTAACATGATTTACCTGCTCATTTGCAAGCACGCCTCTAAGTGGGCAATGATGGCATTTGTACTTTCATGCTAGTGTAATCATAGCAGCTGAGTACATATGGCTCGATTTGGTAGCCTAAGCATGGATATCTAGTGGCCTGTAAGATACTTTAAAGTGTTCTACCTGGTCCCTGTTGCCATTCTGGAAGAACAGTTTAGCTCTCTTGTGTGGCAGTTGCTGACAGTGGGGTATTGCACATGGCGGTCAGCATTTAGGCACCTGAACAGAAGAATACTTTACTTGACTATGCATATACTTTTTAAGGTGCCTCTTGCAGTGGGCATGGGCAGATGTGGTGATCTTACTGTAGGTAAATCAAGATAAAAGATCCTCCCCACCTGTCACTGTCCAGGTGGCCCAGTTTTATCTCTCTGAACTGGTTACTCTTATTCCAGCATCTTTAATCCTATCTATAGTAGTGGAATTTCCAGTTAAATCCTACCCTTTATATGTTTTGGTAGAAACTTCTGAAGGTTATATTGGTGTGCTTCTTCAGGGGAGAGGGCAAGCAGTACCATGTTGACAATTGTTCAGTAAATGCTTCTCAGCCTCGCTTTCCAGGTTACAGCCCCCTTAATCTGTATGCATGGCCTGCATTTCTTGTCCTTCATATATATCTTTGCACCTGTCTTTGAATGAATCTAGCTTAATAAGTAATCCAGATCATGCTGATTCCCCTGGCTGCTATTATCGTTCATCACTCTGGCAGTCTGTATCATAGCAAGTGTTTTCAGCAGTAATCTTAATTTGTTTCTGTGTCACTGATGATGAAATGTTAAATAGTGTTTCGCCTACTAACCAACTTCTGGAAAACTCCATCAAGAAACAGCCTTAATAAATAAAGATTTTTTTTTTTCACCTTGAGAAATGGTTCTTGAGATGTATGTTAACCGTTCATTAACCCACGTATTCTCCATGGATACAGTTTTAAGAATGTTCTATAGTGCTAGACTGAGGTCCTAAAATTCTAAACATTACTGTATGTTCAGCTACCCCTACATAACCGAACATATAGTAGTCTTGTTTGATAAGGCCTCTTTTCCATAAGTGTTTCCTAGTGTTGCTTTATGCCCTCCTTCATTCATGAATGCTGTATTAACTTTTCCGTGGTAGTTCATTGTTGTTATAATGGAGAGACTTTATGTGGAACTTTCTTCTTGTCTTTGATACTGGTGTGTTGTTGCTGAAAACAGGGGTACCTTCAGAAAACTGTAGAACTCTAGGGTACAGATTTTCCAGGCCAGTTGACTCTATAATCTTTCTCCTTCAAAGATGTTCTTTAATGTGTTTCACAGCAGCTGATAAAGTGGAAAGTATATTATCATCCTCATATGATAGGAAGATTTTACTACACTTCTTTCCAGATACAAACCAGAAATATTTACTAATATTTATTAATGAAATTTTATCATCATCTATTAATAGACCTATAAGGTTGTTCTCAAAGGAGTTCTTTGTTTCTGGTGTATTTAAAACCTTCTTCTAATTAAGACACAATTCATGGTTGACAGAGCTGAGGGCATACAATAAACTCTTTTAACAGTTTTAATTCCTGTCTTTGTCTAAATGTTTTCACTCAGCTAGTCTCTACTCCCCTTCCACAGCCTTAGGAAACTGGTTCTGTTAAAGTACTCTGTATATGTGTATGTTCTTGAAGTTTCAACGTAATCACTAACTAATAAAATAAATATTATCATTTTACTGGTTACAAACCATAGTCTTAGTTTCTGAATGAAGTCAGATAATGATCATTTATGCCTAAGCACTCACTAACTTTCAGCATGGCATTTGAATGCAATTATCCATCATAATGAATTGCAAAATAATTGTTATGTTGGATGATGAGTATTTTCTAACACAAAAGGCATTATAATTATTAAACTGTAATAATTTACTGTTGTCACTGTGAAGCATTCAGCATATGTTCCCTAAATCAAAATCCTTATAATGTGGATCTTGTTCTTTTTTGTAAATGCCTTCTGGTTTCCAGACAGTTGTGAAAAGCAGCACCAGACAAAAAGTGCAGTAAGCTAAGGGTTAGGAAATGCAGGTTTTGCTCCTCATTGTGCCATTGACTTGCTATCAGAAATACTTGTCTTTTTGTAAGAGACTCAGGAGTGAAATCAATTGAGTATACTGGTTGAATGTCCTTGAATGAATCTCCTGCAGAGATCCTTTCCTGTGTGTTTGCTTTCTTTGATTTTTTTTTTTATTGCAGTGCCAAAACATGAGGATGAGGACAACTGCAGCGGTGCAGTTGGATTTCTGTAAAATTTTCTCCTTTCATAAGAGGGTTTTGCATTTTTCATTTCTTTCCTTTTTGAGATAAAACCTAGGTGTGTTTAAGTAGTGGACCTGCTTTAGAAAATAGTAATTTAAACCCTGACCATTTGTTATTTTAATGATCTTTTGGTATTCATGTCGTCATACAACTCTGGCTTGTTCTTCTTCCTCAGCATGTTGTGTTGTGTGTTACCATCATTACTGTAATGCCCCTGACATTAGATTGAAAGGGCCACCTGTTTGCAGAAGTCCCCTTTCCCCCCACTATTTTGAAATTAATGTTGACCGGGCAGTGCTTAATATTCTGTTTTGTTGCAGCTGTAATTAGTTGCAGTTGTACTATTTCAGGTGCAGAGTTTCATCTGCCTAATATGCATAGTGTATGAAGCATTAGGCCAAATTAGTTTAGGTGGTCTGTTATTTATATATGTCTCAGACTCGATGGCTTGTGACAAACTAGCAGGCAGTGTGTGTAGAAGCTCTGACTGGTTATGTGATGATCACATACAAATTTGCAGCTGACTGAACCCTCAGTCAACTTTCCCTTTTGATTCTATGGGTGTTTTTTCCTAATTGATTTGGTACTGTATGTTACTTCAGAATCTGCTCGATGATGTGGAAGAATTTCATGAGCGTGCTCAAGAAGCTATGATGGATGAGATCCCAGACTCTTCCAAGCTGCAGGACTTAATAGACATGGGCTCTGGCCTTTATGTAGAACTTCCTGAACTGCCAAGGCTGAAGCAAGAACTGCAGCAGGCACGGTGGCTGGATGAGGTGAGGTCCACCCTCTTGGATCCCCAGAGAGTCACCCTAGATGTGATGAAGAAGCTGATTGACTCGGGTGTGGGCTTGGCACCACACCATGCTGTGGAGAAAGCCATGGCTGAGCTGCAGGAGCTGCTTACAGTTTCAGAGAGGTGGGAGGAGAAGGCCAAGGTCTGCCTGCAGGCCAGGTGAGTGTTCCTTTGCAAACTATTCTTATAGGTCACGCACTTCAGGGATTCTCAGCCTCTGTTGAGGAGTGTGGTGAAAAGAAGGGACTTTGAAGCTGTAGTACTGTTTTTACCTCCCAGCAGTTTGCTTGCTCAAGAGTTGGATTTGAGGTTGTTGATGAGTTGCAGAAGAGCTGATTCCCTGTCATGTGGTACAGTGTCAGGAGGCTGTGAATTGCCGCTGTCTTTGCTATTCATCCCCCTCAACAAAAAACACTGAGTATGTTGCACGAGACAGCTTCCTCGATGTTAAGGAGTTCTGGCGCTGTGCCCTTTTGAACTTGATTGTGCAAAGCCCATCAGCTTTCTCACCTCTGCTGTTATGTGGTAGCCAGTAGCACCCTCCAAGAGCAGAGCTGTGGCATCCTACACTGCAGTGTAGTGATGAAGTTGCATCACCAGCCTGTCAAATTTATGTCTTTAGTTGACTGGCATTTTGAGAGATGGCTGGAATTGAGGTGTGTTTTTTTTTTTTTTTTTTTTTTTTTTCCTCTAGACCACGCCAAAGTATGATGGCTCTGGAGGGCATCGTGAATGAAGCAAAGAACATCCCTGCTTACCTGCCCAATGTGCTGGCACTGAAGGAAGCCCTGCAGCGGGCTAGAGACTGGACAGCCAAAGTGGAGGCCATTCAGGTAGGGGGATGTGTTCTTTATTCCTAGCCCCTCTACCCACAAAGGTGACCTGAAAGGAAACCTTACCATAGCTGTTAAACGTGCTTACCATAGCTCATGTACTTAAATTTCTTTTTCTTTTTGTGCTGCTGTTTCACCATTGGCTATCCAATTTCTATTTCCCTTCCTTTTATGCATTTCATGGGGGATGTAAAAGCCAGCAAATTCATTATGATACAAATGTAACTCTCAAAGGGCATTACTTGGTACTGAAACTGTTCTGCACTGTCACTGCAAATACCTAGCTGCAGCAGCAGATATTCTGCTCACAGGTCTTCAGTTTTGGAGCTGGCTGTGGAAATGGGGGGGACTTGTTTGTTTTTTCTTCCCCAAATGGTGTAAGGTTTAATGGCACCGATGGCTGAAATTTTCTACCTGAAATAGGTGAAGTTATGACATAGTTAGCTCAGTAGTCCACCTCCTTCTACCCACATAACTTGATCCAGAAGGGACACAGCTTCTGTGATATTTCTAGGTGTTGATCTCTGGACTGCAACTGCTATTCCTGTGTGAGGTATTCGTTGGGAACTGAGGTGAGAATCCCAGTTGATTTCACATCAGCCCCTGTACAACTCTCAGATATTGTAGCTTGCTGTTAAGCAGCTGGCATTTAAGACAACCATCTAGAAATGGTTACTTACTGCATAAGCCAGCTGACCATGTCAGAATGGCTGCTAAAATAAAAACTGTATGAGATGCTTTTAAAACTATTGATAAGATTAAAACCCTGCCCTCCTTTCCTTTCCTGTGGAACTCTATTTTAGTCAGTGACAAAATAGTGTATGGCTTGAAATTAAGCTGGCCACTGATAGAATGGTGGAATTGTTGGCTTAGTAAAATTTCTTCTACCCCAGAATGGGAGCAACTATGCCTACCTGGAGCAACTGGAGAGCTTGTCTGCCAAAGGCCGCCCCATACCAGTACGTCTTGATGCCCTGCCACAGCTGGAGTCGCAGGTAGCTGCAGCACGTGCTTGGAGGGAGCGCACGGGAAGGACCTTCCTGAAGAAGAACTCAAGCTACAGTCTGTTACAGGTGAGCAACAGACACTTCTGAGTCAGCCTTCAGAAACTGATCTTGAAGGCCCTCTGTGGTCTGGAGGGAACAGCTGGTTCAATTACAGAGAATAGAATAGAATAAAAAACTTCAGCTGTTCTCAAGTAAAAAGAATGAAAAAGGCAAAAAGTCTATGTTTGGCTATTTGTCTTTTATGTATAGACAACCTCAGCTCTTACTTCAGAAGAAACAGATTAAAACTCCTTTTTGGGAGGCAAAGAAAAGGATTTCTCTTTTTGTATAGTTGTAGAAACGTAGGCCTGAAATGGACATGGAAGCTGTCTTTTGATTAATGTTTTAACTTGTTCCACTGCTTAAATTCTAAGAAAATAGATTAGATATTTTATAAGCTTTTTAACTATAAGAAAAATTGTCAGCTACTGTTTAATCTCACTTCAATGAATGTAGTCACTGTCTTTGTTTTAATAAATATTGTTCGTGTGTTTGAAGATTCATCATGTCTTCTTGACAGGCTTCCCTTTTCTAGGGAAAACAATTCCAGCTCTTTCAACACTTTCTTGTAGGCTGTATTTTTCATACTCTTATCTTGTTGCTATTCTCTGCGGTTTGTCTTCACTTTTAGCGTGATGTCCAAAACCAGACAGAATCCTCTTGCTGTGGCTTCCCTAGTGCCATGTGAAGTGCAGTAATTACATCTTGTGTCTCAAAGGGGATACTGCTGTTTAATGTTTCCCAATGGGATCTGCCCCTACTGCAACAACATCACACTGATTTCTGTTCAGTTTGTGTTGCACTCTAGGTCCAAATTTTTTTCTTCTGCCTAACTATAGTTATTTAATATGTTCTGGTTTTGCATTTGACTGTTTCCCTAAGTGTAGCAATTTGAACTTTCTTATATTGAATTTAATTTGCTGTATTTAAATAGGCCTTCCAACTAATCAGAATTACTTAACATTTAATTCTTGTCCTTAAATGTGCTTTGCAGCTTCTCATGTTTGATGTTAAAAGGCTTATTGCATATTTTTTAGTTTTGTTTCAACCACCAAGTTGCTGATGTAAGTATGAAATCATGGCAGATCATTAAGAATTGCAATTGATGAAGGCGCGTGAAGTGAATGTTAAACTACTGAAATCTGTGTACAGTATTTCAGTTAGTTTATATGTATGATAGCTTAATCTGAACAGATTTTGTAATTTAATGAAACACAGTGGCTTTCAAGTGGACCTGCCACATCACTGTGATGCTGATTGCATTCAAATTCCACATGCATGAAATATTTGTATCCTTTTCTGTTTATTTCTCCCCTTCCTCGCATTAATTGGCAGATACCAAATGTGTTAGATTGCTGAGGGGTTTTTTCCTCTCTGGGGACTCTGTTGTAATTGCTTTATTAGATGTTCTCATATGTGTCCCTGGGATCATAACACTGTAGATTAGAACTTTTTTCTGTTATTGGCATCCTTGGCTCTGACAATGTAAGTTTTCTTGGCGGTTACAGGTTCTGAGCCCTCGGACCGATATCGGTGTTTATGGGAGCAGTAAGAATAGGCGGAAGAGGGCAAAGGAGTTGATGGAGAAGGAGAAGGAGAAAGATCTCGACTTGGAATCCCTAAGTGAACTGGAGGATGGGCTGGAGGAGGCCAGGGACACTGCAGCTGTGGTAAGGAGCAATGGAAGGTAGTGTCTCCTGCTATGTGGGTTTCATTTGTCTCTAATCTGTGTAGAAGTCTTACGGAAGAACCGATAAATTAATCTCACTGAAATGAACATCTCATAATATGATGTTTGACACAAGAATATAGTTCAGCTTTAATTGCAGTGAAAGTAGAGGGAAGCACAGTTCACAGCATAAGTGCTGGTATTTAATATGTATTGGGCTATGTGTAAGACTTAAATGCTCTTGGGTTAATATCTGTGGCTGCTCATCTAATATTATTAACATTTACTGAAATCTCATGAAAATAATGTGGAATGAGGCACAGCTGTAACTTAAACAGTACCAAGACATACTTGGTTAGGTCTATTTTGAGGGCAGCTTGTCAGTGCTTGATCATAGAAACTGGGCTGGGGGGAATATTATACTTGATTCTTCCTTATTGGGAGGATATTGATGCAGCTTATCAGAAGAAGTTTCTGTCATGTGGCTGCCCTTTCTTTGGTAAGAAAAAAAAAATAGATCCAGGCTCATTAGTGTGACTTATACATGGTCTGTTTTACTTTAGTGTGCTTCATTATAGTTACTTGAATGGAGACACTGAGGAAATGCAAGTTGCTTCAGGAAGATATGTGGTCACTCAGATGCTCCTGGTGCTGAGTCAATATTGAAACAATGCTCAGCTTCGTTGTCTTGGTAGACAGATGGATGGGACTGATTCTGACTTCTTTCCTGGAGTCAAAACCTGGACTTCTGGTGCCCTTATGACAGATTTAATGATGAACTTCAGAAACTTTGTTGTTATGGAGAAGGTTATCTAAAGCTTATCTAGAATCTGTCAGAAGGACTCGAAGTAATGAGTAATTGAACAGAAGGTATTTTAGCTAGTTTTAATTAGATCACACAATTCCTAAATTTTGGGATAGTTTAACTAGGAAGATCTCTTGATATGGTGGTTTGTTTTTTTTTTTCTTTTCCTGCATTACAAATAAAATATAATCTCTTTTAGCTGTTGAAGGTCATGAACTGTTTTTTGTCTTTGCTGGGTAGGTGGCTATATTCAAGGAGCGGGAACAGAAGGAGATTGAAGCCATGCACGCTCTCAGGGCAGCTAACCTGGCCAAGATGACTATGGTGGATCGAATTGAAGAAGTCAAATTCTGTATCTGTCGCAAAACAGCTAGTGGTTTCATGCTACAGTGTGAGCTGTGCAAAGACTGGTTTCATAGTGGCTGCGTGCCCCTTCCCAAAACAAGTTCTCAGAAGAAGGGCTCTAGTTGGCAGGCCAAAGAAGTGAAGTTTCTCTGTCCACTTTGCATGCGTTCTCGAAGGCCACGGCTTGAAACAATACTGTCTCTGCTGGTGTCCCTGCAGAAGCTCCCTGTTCGGCTGCCGGAAGGGGAGGCATTGCAGTGCTTGACAGAACGTGCCATGAGTTGGCAGGACCGAGCGCGGCAGGCTTTGGCCACTGATGAGTTGTCCTCTGCTTTGGCTAAGCTTTCTGTACTCAGCCAACGAATGGTGGAGCAGGCAGCACGGGAGAAAACAGAAAAAATAATCAGTGCAGAGCTACAGAAAGCGGCAGCTAACCCAGACCTGCAGGTAGGGATGTGAATTGCTCTTTACTGTGCTTGTCCTTCTTGAGTGTGTCAGAATGCCTTATCTTTCTTGGAGAAGCTTGGGGGAGAGGGGAAGACAGTTAAAAGCTGAGAATTAGACATATCAAAATTACTTGAGTGCTCCTTAGTCTCAGGCTGTGGCTGGCTTCAATCAGTTACGTGCTGTTCCACAAACAGGTCTGTTGGCTTTGTACTCATTGTCAATAGTAACTGCTGAAAGTGCTTGTAAGAAACATCGGTTCAAATTTAACAGCTGGCTAAGGGCCTTGAATATATGTAAAGCAGTGGCTACTTTGGTGTCCAAATTCCATTTCCCTCTTGACAGAATCAGAAGTCTCGATACTTATAATTTCTCATGGATTGTCATTTTTAGGCATTTGGTGTCTTGTTAGTAAACTTCAGTGAGGACTATAGGCAAACACGGGTACTTTCACAGCTGACCTCTTCATCTTGAGATTGGTGATGCTGTGGTGAAGAAATTTGTACAACTACAGGCTATAATTTGGTAGCACTGAACAGCAGAACTTTCTAGTTACTATTATTTAAAAACATGAAAATAAAGTCTAATAGAACCTTTTCCTTGGATATTTCCCTATCTTTCTTCACATCTTGCTGTAGCTAGGCTTTTCTGTGACTGTCCAGGCAGTTATCCTCAGGCCAAAAGAACCACTGTTCTCTTTGTCAGTTAACTCTTTAGCTTTTTTTTTTTTTTGTATATTTTTCTGGAAATTTTATTGTTTCATTCCCATATTCCGTTTTTCTTTTAGGGACACTTGACTAGTTTCCAGCAATCAGCCTTTAACAGAGTAATAGGGAGCGTGTCGTCATCCCCACGGCAGACTTTGGATTATGATGATGAAGAGACAGACTCTGATGAAGACATCAGGGAGACATATGGCTATGACATAAAGGTAAGTAATCCAGTGTGGCTTATCTGCGTGGAATTAATCCAGAACACCTGTTCAATTTCTTTTAGTATATTTTTTGTATCTTAAGCTATCTACGTACATTCTGTCCTGGCTTCTGTTGCAGAAGAGGTGCTTCTTGATTTTATCTGAATGTCTCAGTTCTGGACTACTGGGAAATTTTGTGATGTTTTTATTCAAAATTTCCAAATGTCCTATTTGAGTTTCAAAAGACACTTTTTAGTGCTAAGGAAAAAGATACACTTCTCAAGGGATTTGTATTTATAATACCATGGAGGATGAACATTGTCTTTATGCCCCATTTGGAGATACCATGAATCATAAATACAAGTAAGTGTCTATATGGAGAGCTCTTCAACAGTTTTTGCTACAGCAAAAAATTAGTCTTTGAAAACTGCATGCCCTGTAAGAAGTTTGCTAATGCCAAAGCTTCTTTCATGTTTCCATACATTTCTCTTCATTCAACCCTCATATAAAAGAGGTACATGTGTTTAATTTTGGATGTGTGGAAGTATTCAGGAATAGATGTCTGGATAGTGGTGTAAAATTAGTGTCTGGATTCAGTTCAGAAATTGTAATGCAGTTAAATTTTTAAAATGTTTTAACTAGAGAAGAATTGTCATGAGAAAAGGCAATTGTAGAGATAGCCAAGTGTTTTCAATGTCATGTATTTCACTTCGGAACTTCTGAAATGTCCTTCTGATACATGTAGAGACAAAAGCAATGCTGCTGTCTCTTCTTGTGCAGTGTTTTCTTTTAGCAATAGTGTCATATCTACTTTAAAAGATGCTAACTTAAAAGACAGTCGGTCATGTAAATTCTTCTAAGGCAGATTTTCTGGTTTAGAAAGGGACAGCAAATTTTCCAGGTATGATTTGCCTCAATCCCCCATTTTTAATATTTTGTTTCTAAGCAGCTTTATGCAAATACACACATTTGTCTTAGTCCCATGTGAAATGCCAACAAGATTACATTGCAGTTGGGTGTTACAGCTTTTATATAAAACTATTTTCATTTAAAAAAAAAATAGCAATTTCCAAACTGTTCTTTGCATCAGGAGTCCTAATAAGGCATTTCTGAAAGCTGTGGCATTTTCTGAGGCTGTGATAAAGCATATGTCAAGAAAGATGGCATATGTTTGTCAGGATCTGAAGGTTTTGCAGTAGTTTAATTTCATTTGTTTAATGAGTGTGTTGTCATGATTTCAAAATTTGTTACTTAAGCCTTTTGATTTGGATGTCCATCACTATATGTAGTTGTAAAAACCTAGAAGTAAAAATCTGTCAAAGCAAAGCTGATAGGGACCAGAACTGTACTTTGTTGGGTCAGCTAACATAGTTGGAATAGAACACAAATTTTCAGGCAACCAAATTCTTCAGGTCTAAACTAGGAGCAGCAAAGTTCAAAAGAAATAGCAAAGTTGCTCAGAGTTTAGTTATTTTTATACTGTTTGCTTTCAAGGGTTGGTTTTTTTTCTGTTTGATCTAAAAACATTTTCCACTGGAGTGATGTGTTTTTAAAAAAAAGTGAATAGATCATGATGCATCATGTATGAATTTGCTCTTAATAACTTCTTGTGGACCCTGTAGAAGTAATCCTTGGATCCCTAAGTGTCCACAGAGTTTATTTCTAACACCACAGTCTTGGACATCTCAAGTACAACAGTGGCTACAGATGTGAAAAGGCCTGTTTGATTATATTGTGCTGCTTCTAATTAAAACATGATTCTTGCCAGCAAATACTTCATTATGAGTGGAATAGCTAGACTTGTTTTAAGACTTGTTCCAAGGAGACCGATTCACTGGTCAAATTTACTGTAAATTTCCTTCACCTTTAATTGCTTTCATTTTGTCTCTTATTTTTTTGCCTCATGCCTTTGCACCTGAGTTGCCTATGGCCACCAAATGGTGATATTTTTTTATTAATTTCCCTATTGCCCTGAACATTCTTTAATGTACTATAATATGATATCCAGAAAAAGATACTGTATGAGATGTAACCTTTACTATGTAGGGAGAAGTATCTTCCGCTGTCTGAATATATTTATCCTACCTTTTCATCTGGGCAATTTAAGTCTGAATTTCCCACTTCTAGTTCTGTACTGAAATCATTAGTGTGCACTTCACTTCCTTTTAAACATGTAACTGAAAGCCAGAGAGAGATTACCATTCTTAAACTCCCTTTTTATGTCATGAAATGACAGTGTCTGGGTGGTACAATTTCCTGAGTTGGCCATTTTGGGACCCACACAGCTAAACTTCAGGTAAATATTGTCAATAACTGCTCTACAGCCTTTCTCTTCTTTTAAGCCAGCTTCTTGTTTTTTATTGTTTTCTGAAAGATTTCAGTCTTACATGGCATGCTAAGTATGTTTAACCTGTTGGCCAGTTTCATCACAAATGTGATGGACTAGCTAAGTTCTGGAAAGTGCTGTGGAAAAAGACAGCTGGTTGAGGAGATTGTCCGTATTAATTTCACCTGCAGGGGTGAGTAAGAAGAGGGAGAAGTTAGTACAGGGGGTCATGAGGGAATCTACACAGATGGGCTTGTGCCTTTTCTGGATTCTCTGCCCAATGTAATGCAAAGTCAAACAAAGCTTCTCCCACTGCTAAGAGATCCCTAATCTCTCTTCTCTTAATGGATCCACCTGCACCTGAAGGCACGTGTCCCATTTTAGAGTGTGATGTATCTTGAGAGGTCAAGCATCCATCCTACACAACGCATTGAGCATATTGAGTGTCTTACACAATGCACTGAGCTGAGCACAAGCCAATGCCATCATTATTTTGTCCATGGAAATATTTACAACAGTCTCAAGCATTACAGCCCTCTTCCTTTTGGTCTTTGTTCCTATCTTAAAATGGTTTAATATTGCCGTAAAAGTCCTGATCCCAGGGCAACGTTTGATTATTTGCCATTACGTTGATATTTGTTGCTGTGCTGGAACACCCGGGTTTTTCTTCACCTGTAAGATCTTTAATAATTTCTTTCTATAGTAACCATTATTTACTCAGCATACCCCTGCTTTACTAAAGATGCCAGTCTTTATGGCCTTGCAGTCAAATTTTTTGAGCAAAAAAAATTATGTAGACGAAGAGTAAGCCCTTTTAATTATGTTGACTTCTGAAGACCATACTTGAGGGACTTCTGAGTGAGGAAACTTTTTGAGTGTTTCTCGTGCACTAGCTACAAATCCATTGACCTATCTCCATAGCTGCTGTGTTCATCCACTATTAAGTAGGGATGTAACTTGTACCTTTTCCACATGGTCTTGGTGTCTCTGGTGGGGTGCTTTGAAGTCAGGTTTTAGGAAAAGCAGACTGGTCAGTCTTAGAATTTACTTTGAAGTAGGTATTTTATGGATCTGGATGTTGCATGTTTTATGTGGGTCTTTTTCAGGACAATGCCAGTGTAAAATCTTCTAGCAGCTTGGAGCCCAATTTGTTTTGTGATGAAGAAATCCCCATTAAATCAGAGGAAGTGGTGACACACATGTGGACTGCTCCCTCATTCTGTGCTGAACACGCATATTCGTCTGCTTCTAAAAGCTGCTCTCAAGGTATTTGCTTTTGTATACATTGAGGTAAAATTGAACGGATGGCTGGGATGAGCCGGTCAGTAAGGAGGGGAACTCCACTGTTACCTGTGCTAGTTGTATAGAATATGTTGTCTGTAAGAAGGTACAGTAGAGTTACATCGCAATTAGTTTCCTGATGTTTGATATATAAACTTGAGTCAATGTTTTTTTGCTTGGGATTGCCTCCCTCCTTAGATTGTTGTTGTAAGAAGTATGTAGTTTCTTTTGGTTTTGATCTCTTCCTTTCATCCTTATATGACTTGCTTCTGTCTGAAAGGTTCTAGCACTCCAAGGAAACAGCCTCGGAAGAGTCCACTGGTACCTCGCAGTTTGGAGCCGCCTGTATTGGAGCTGTCACCTGGAGCAAAAGCTCAACTAGAAGATCTAATGATGGTAGGAGATCTACTAGAGGTATCACTGGATGAGACTCAGCACATCTGGCGGATTTTACAGGCTACTCATCCACCCTCTGAGGACAGGTTCCTTCATGTCATGGAGGTATGCAACTTGAAGATACATAGATATATCCTGGTATGGAAAAAAAACCCACCACATTATTTTGTTTTGTGTTGGTTTTGTTTTTTTTTAATACATTCTGGGGCAGTTGAGTGCTTAGTTACTTGACATGTTTGCATTTCAGCCAGGGAGTAGTAGATTCCAGAAAATAACAAAATGAGCGATACAAAAATTCGGTTCTTGATCACTCATGCCATAGCACTGTCCTCTACAATTTACCACATTTAGAACAGTTTTCTCAGGCAGTTCCATATGCAAACCTTATTTTAGAAAACACAAGGTTAGGGAAGGAAATGCTGTTCTTGATTATACTTGGAATCAGAACCGATCTGGAAAAGAATTACGAGAAACATTTAGGAAGATGGAAAGTCTACGCTTAGCTTGTATAACTTGATACTTGTATGTTGCTGAACTTTTGTTGTTACTGGGGGAAGAACACTTGTTTGGATAAACCATGGTTTGATAATGCAGGTAATAAGATTCCTATTCTTTCTCAGAATAATACAGACATAGCAATTTTTTTTATTAATATACTGTGAAGATGTGCTGATCAATTCCTTCGGCTGACAATGAATGAGGCAGGTTTAACTGCTGATTCTGAGGTCTAGTCCAAATCATTTAGTCTCATGCATGCAGCACGTAAGGGATGTGTGCTGGAAGAGAAGGTAAACTCTTGCATTGAAGAGCTGTACTGGGACCCATCCTTTATCATCTGTCAGCTGAAGTTGGGATCAGTTTGACTCTGTGTAGTTACAGGATATATGATTGGGTTTTGGGTTACTGAACTGCACAGGAAATACATTAAAGATGGTTCTTCTTTGACTTTTTGGTAGAGTACAGTAATATAAGATGAAAGGTAACATGTTGTGAACAGTGAGGTTAGATGAGCATATTAATCAGTTGTCTCATTTTCTGAGTGCCATCCATACACAATGGATAAGTCTCAGTGTTGCTGAGCTGCCATCAGTTAGGACAGTAGTATAAAGCAGACCCTGCCTCCAAAGTAGTCCTGCTTTACCGTGTTTTGACCCAAGTACTTCATGAGCTTAATGTTCTTTTAATGTAATGGCTTTGGCATGGAGTTGATTGAGAACAGTTTGAATGCCAGCAAACAGCAATTTATAAATAACATGCCAGACTACTATATTAATAGTTAAGCACAGCTTGGGGGTGGTGGGGTGGTGTAAGAGGGTGAGTGTTACAACATTTTCTGGTTAACCGTTATGAATAGTTGTTTGACCGGAACTACTCATTTTGAACTGAATACCTTTCTATGTCTATTTACATGCAAAATAGGTAGACCTTTGTAAAATAATATTCAGAGGATTTGGTTTTGGGTGGAGTAGCTATATTAAGTAATGTACAGTAAACAGTCTTTTACTGGCTTATAGTATGTCCTTAATCTGTTGATAATTATTAAGGTTAAAGTGAATTTACTGAAATTGAGTCAGTCCTGTTTGTACGAAGGAGCTATACATGTGAATCTTTCAGATATAAATAGGACTTGTCACTGTGGATGCTATGTGCAGTGACAGGGTTTGCCAATTTTAAGCCTCATTTCTGATCTGAATCTGCTATTTAAGATTTGTTAATGACGCCAGGGTATTTACAATGGGTGCCAGTTTGGAAGCAATTCAAATAATGGATCTGTTACTTTCTTCTCTTGCTTGAGTTGATGATACATTTTAAGAATTCACCAATTGCTCTTTCTTAATCTCCAGAATAGCAATTGCTTTCTCTCAAAATATAATTACAGGCAAGACTGACCTAGGATGAAAAATAAGCAGGAGCATCTAACAAATGACTAATCTTCTCAACTTTTATTAAAAAACAACATGAGAAGGGAGTTGTAATTATTGCTATTCTGCCTCCTTACCCTTGCTGATTATTTACTTTTTCCACTGGACATTTTTGATTCATTGTACTTTGACACAATAAGTTGATACCACTTTTTTTTTTCTAGTATGGTGAAAATAAAGTTGAGTCCCTCTTTGTTTAGAATTTGTAACAATGTGTTGTTGAATAGGTTTCTTCATGCCATGTCAGGGTAATGGTGGAGGTAGATACATCTCTCAAACCACAAGCTTGCATTATATGGAAATTTTTATTTGAAAAAAAATTTTTTTTCTTTTCACCCTTTCTATGAAGGATGACAGCATGGATGAGAAACCACTGAAAATGAGAGGGAGAGACTCTTCTGAGAGGAAGCGGAAACGAAAGCTGGAGAGAGCAGAGCAGTTCTTTGGGGATATGAAACAAAAATCTAAAGAGCTGAAAAAACTGGAAAAACCCAAGAAGAAGAAGCTAAAACTCACCATGGATAAGACAAAAGAGCTAAACAAGCTGGCAAAGAAACTGGCTAAGGAAGAGGAGCGGAAGAAGAAGAGAGAGAAAGCAGTTGTCACAAAGGTGGAACTAGCAAAGGAGAGCACAGAGAAAAAAAGAGAGAAGAAGGTTCTAGATATTCCTTCGAAGTATGACTGGTCAGGAGCAGAGGAGTCAGATGATGAGAATGCTGTATGTGCTGCACAAAACTGCCAGAGGCCCTGCAAGGACAAAGTGAGTTTTTGCTTATTTCTGTCATAGGCAATTCCATGCAAATGCAAAAACCCCAGTGCATTTTAATAATTAGGTTGAACAGCATGAGCAACCAAAGTGGTGTGATTGGAAATAAGAGAGCATTGAGTAGTACTTGGGTAGGTACACAGATGTAGTAGATAAAACTATAGAACTTCCTTGTTCTCTTCTGTACTTTAAAACAGGAGAAGATGATGGAAAATTAGAATCTGGGAGAAGGTACTCTGTCTTGGTTGGGAAGTTTAACCTCTTCAAACCGTGTAATTTTTTGTTGGCAGTGTGCAACACGCATTGTCTGACTCAAAGTATTAATTCTTTGACTCAGCTAGAAACATTCCTGACTTTGGTGTGTTCCTGAGCAGAAGTGGGACGTGTGATGTTCCTGAAGGAAGGAAATTTTCTGTATTTCTTGCATACAGTCTGTGAACAGGGATGCTGCAGGCTGAGGGATCTACAGATTGCAGTGCTTCACTTTTCTCGTTGGAAATAAATAATCAGTGATTTTAGACCTGAATGGATTATTACAAGAGAAACTTGATCTGCCTCTGTCAGTGACACTGCCTGTCCTGATTGTCGGCTTTTAACACTGACTAATCAAAAAATGTTTTTTTCAGAATGTTTTTTTCTGCTTCTTAGAAAGAACAAAAAAACCCCCTCCCAATAATAACTGTGGGAATAGGAATAAATACAAATACCAAGTACTTACAAGTTTCTTATTTTGCAAAATTGAAAGATGGAATTCAAGTGTTCATTTGAACACTTAAAAAGACCAGTTAAAAGACCAATTTTGAAGTCTTAAACTTAGACCAAGGCTAGAAATTACAATCACTGAAAAGATGATACAGTCTTGGTACCACTGTTTACGTCACAGATGATAATTAGCTTCTATTAGTACACTTTTACAGAAATGGAGATTGCAAGAGGGAGGAGAGTGCCTTAAAGGTCGTATTATAAAGAAGGTTGTACTAGATTTGTCAAACTTCCCTAATTTACACTGAATAAAATTCCTGATTGTATAATCAAAGCTTTTAATGGAATGCCTGTCTTTTCATAAGGTTGGACGTGTTTTTGTACATTCAACAGGTGAATGCTGTACAAGTAAAAAATGGCAGATACAGGAATGTAATGACTGAAGCTGCAGCTGTTAGTGTCCTTTATGTAAGGTCACTTCTAAAAATTTGTTCAGGAAGGGTTTTCTTACAAACTAAAGTAAAATCTTGAGCTGATAATGTTTCTCCATTTTTAGATAGGTTGCCACTACTGTTATTTTTCTAATATATTTTAATTTTCACATTCCCCTGTAAGGTGAAAGCAGAACTACAGCAGTAACAACTTTTATAGCTGTACCAGTACATGCCATTAAAATTAAGAATCTGTGTTACTTACCCTGCAGATCTCAGTATCTTCCCACTGACTGAAATTAAAATGTACTTTTACTCAGGGAATTACAGAAATCTAGTAATTAATCTTTTTTTCCTTCCTCAGTTTTAATTTACTTTTTTATGCCTTTTCCTAATTGTTCTATAGCAAGTTCAGCTCAAAGTTTGAAATATTTTAGCATAAATATTCTGACACCTTGGAGTTAGTTTGTGTGCATTTTTTGGCATTTGCTGGCCAGCTGTATACCCAAAAAATAGCTGGTAGAAAAGTATTAAAGCTGCTGATATCACGTGGCTTTTTTTTTTGTCCAAAAGCAGTAATCAAGTCCTTATCTTTTCTGTAATTTTTACATTGCAAAAGGTGCCATTTGATAATGCAGTCTAAGGGGATATATGTAACTAGGATATGTATTTGTAGACTCTCATCGATCCTGAAGTAGCTCTCCATGAGCACACTCCTATTTCAAATGCATCCTAACATACCTATCTTTCATTTATGGAGATATGGGTGTCATCTTCCTCAGTAGCAGTAGCGTGTGTGTATTGTGATGGTCTAAGGATGCAAGAGGCGCAAGGTTTGTTGGAAGAGTGTTATTTTTTATTAAAGTGAAGCAGCTTGTTAAAACAAGTGCTATAGGGCATTAATTTGTGCCCAAAAGCTTTTGTGTTCTAGGTACATCAGGGGGGTTTAATAGAAGGTATTGTCTTCATAGAAACTATGCCTATCTGTCTTTCCTTGTAATGTGCTATGTGTTGCTGATCTGATCTCTTGCAGGTAGACTGGGTGCAGTGTGACGGTGGCTGTGACGAGTGGTTTCATCAAATTTGTGTTGGTGTCTCTCCGGAAATGGCTGAAAATGAGGATTACATCTGTATAAACTGTGCAAAGAAGCCAATGCAGGGACCAAGTAGCCCTGCTCATGCACCACCTCCTCCTTTCTTATTGAGCTACAAACTACCAATGGAAGATCTTAAGGAGACAAGTTAGCAACTACTTGATGCCTGGAACTTTTTGGGAAACGGACCACTGAAACCCTACAGAAAGAGAGGGTTTGAAGCTAATGTAGCCACTGAGCTTCACTTCCAAGGATGTACAGACCTGCAGCAGAGTTGGTCCCTTCCTTACAGCTGGCTTCCTTCATACAATGGGGACGTCAAGGCACAGTGGTACCGACTCATCTATGCAGACACCACCTGATTAGGAGCTCCAGCCAGTGTTTTTTGACTTGAGTATTTCCATCTTTGAGTGTGGCTGTTGCTCTTAGAGACTGAGCAAACCCGAGGCTGTTAGATTAGACACTTCAGGGTGTTAGAAGTACGTGCTGGCAGTGGAGCTGGCCTGGAATTGGTGGGCATAGGCTGGAGCTTTTAGGCCTGCCAGGTTACCCTAAGGAGGTGACTTTGGAAGTTATCTTTTGCCTCCGCATGCCAACCCAGTGAGTAGGGCAGTGTCTTGGGAGAGTTAAGTTGCCTCCATATCCAGGCAGCTGACACTACACTATAAGGATGGGAGCAAGTGGATGAATTCCTTTTAATTTCTCTTTTGTAGCTAAAGGGCAGGGGAGCTCATGATCTCAGAAATCAGCAAAGGTTCTGTTTACCAAAAAAGAAACCAAACTCCTCTCCACTAGGCAACATTTTTTTTCCTTAGTGGGGAACAGCTGATCTTCCTGTCCTGAGGAGGGCCAGGAAACATTGATGAAGATGTCTAGCTAGAGCAGAGCTTGGGAAAGGCAGAGTGCTTCCCTTTCCACAGGGGTGCCCTCTCCTGTTCTAGGCTTTGTGTAGAATTCTGCACTCCTGCACGTTAAAGTTGTCTCACGCAGGATGGAGCTGGCAAGGAGGTACAGCACCCAGGGCACCAGCTTCTGTGATCTGTACCCAGGGATGGGAAGGAAAGAAGACAGCCCACTTACCTCAGAGGTTACACTGACATGTGCTTCTGTGAAAAGTTTCACTCACAACTATTTCCAGTATCACCAGGCTACGGGCATGGCCTCAAGCGATACCAGCAAGCAGTCTGCAGATACTGTTCGCAGCGCAAATCCCCCTCCCTGCTGGCTTTGCTGGATGTGTACCAGTGTACAATCAGCAACAGTTCTTGCTTGAAGTTGCCCCTGGCTTTGCCAGAGGACCAGAGGGCTTGGGGTCATCCTGGGTGACAGTTGTTTTAGTAAATCCATTTTTAAAGAAGGACTTGTTTTTACTTTTTTCTAAATGTCTCAGACTACTGACTTGTTCTATAAATAGATTATTTTTCTTTGATTTTTTTATACTTACCACTGTTAACCAGCAGCACAGACAGAGGTTCACAAAGCAAAAACCTGCCCGTGGGCTTGGGTTTTTTTACTCCATTCCTTCCTTGTAGTACAAGGAATTAGCAGTTACCTTCCCCATTCTAGCCTGACCAGCTGCCTGTGTTTAAATAGGTAAATACATTTCATGTGCTACCTTTGTGTTTGGGTTTGTTCCTATTAGTGGGGCATCTGGGCCTTAATGACTCCAGTGGATGCTGGCTTTATGTATGTGAATGTCTGAAGCCAGCCACTGGGCTGTCTTGTCCCCCTCTCCACTCGCTCCCTATTGTGTTTCCATTCTTCTGCAGTTCTAGGAGTGTTGTAAGTAGTGTCCAGTCTTACTAGGAGCTGGATTGGGATTTAAAGAAATATTGACAAAAACAAAAGTGTTCTGTCTTGACTGTTCTGTGTCCCTTCTCTTGTTCTCTGATATTTGGAAGTTTATTTATCTGGCAGAATTATCCATCCAAAAAAAAAAAAAAAAATTCAGCTCAGGTAGATGAACTTTTATTGGTTTGTTTTATTTGTGCCTGCTACCTGGGAAAGGGAAGATGTGCAAAAGAAAAAGAAATAAGATGGAGGGCAGAAGATACAGGGTCTTGGGGAGCTTTGAGTGCAAATCAGGCACAGACTTGTGCTCCTTAAAGACTAATATGGTGTTAAAAGCAAAAGCAAGCTGTGGTTAAGCATGTGGCTGAACGGGCACCGTAGCAAACTTAAGAGTATTATTTGTTTACTTATTTATGAAGGAGTCTATGCTATAGCTAGACATACCCTCTTTCTGCCTTCAGTTACAGTTTTTTTCTTCTCAGTGTACGCTTAGTTTTCGTAAACTGGTTTAAACAGATGTTACTTTCCTTCAAGCTTTAACTGATGGTACTACATAAATGTTTCCCTATATGGAGTGGATAGACTATCTGTCACAGATGTTTAATCGTTCCAGAAGTAGATTAGTGCAAGATTTCTTAAAGAATCCCAGTGTTCTGTATTATTTCCTGACTCCTAGAATCCGTGACACAACAGGGAAAATATGGTTAGCATATCCTGTTAGCCGCTGAGCATATCCTCTTAACCATTCCTACATTCTCTGTTGTGATAAAGTCATTGTTATATGTAATTGCCATCAACTGGAAAAGTGATCTTTTAGTAAATCTGCGTTGAATGTTCCTGTTTCTCTGAGTAGAAGGTGTGGTGGAGAATGTTAATGGTAGCACTAGTTACAACAAACAGCTATACGATGCCATGGTCAATCATTCTGCTTGTAACAAGCATAGAAAAGAGTAAACAACAGAAAGAAATGTGCAAATAACATGCAAAAGGTCCCATTTTTAGTAGCTGTTTTTCATATCACATGGAGAGGCTCTATTACACTGTCGAAAGGAGGTTGCCACGCTTTTTCTAGTTACAGATGTTTCATCTGCTTTCGGGTAAGGTGTTCATAAACCGAAGACCATTACTAGCTTTACATCTTACTGTTTAAGATTATTTTTTAAGAGCATAATTCCTCTCAAAGGATTGCTGATAGTATGAACTTATGAATAAATGTTAACTTTTGAAAAAATGTGTAGATATGTAGTTAGTGGTTGAAAAACCTAAAGCTACAGCTGTGGTATTGTCTCCAGATCTTAGGGTTTTGAGTTTTTATAAAAACATGCAAAGAAGGAAGCTGAAGTTTAAACTAAGGAAATAATTTTCTTACGTGTCTGCTACAGCTGTAGGAAAAATCTCTCATGCTTTGGGGACAAAATCTCAGTATACACAAAACCTTAGCTCGTGTGTGTCTAGAAAGGTACATGCCTTAATGCTATATCCTACAAAGAATACCAGCCACTGTTCATGTTACTTCTCTTCATGTGTCTGATGCAAAAGGTCAAAGAAATGACCTGAGCTGTTGTGAGGAACTAAAAATGGCCAAGACTTGAGTTGTGTATCTTATCCAAACCATGCGGTTTCAAGCTTTTTCTTTTAAGAACCAGGGCCTGGAATTGGGAAGCTTTACTTGCACAGAGATAAACACCGCTCCTGAACTTCAGTGCCATTACTTTTAGGATTCGTGCTTTTGACAGATCATCTGTACATGAGTGCTTGTGCAGCCTGGACTATTTGATAATGAGGGCTTAAGGTAAAATTGATGATATTATGAAAATTATCTTAAGGGATTTGGAATATAGTCATACAGCATAGGATAAACAGATGTCTGTGTGTTTTGTTAGCCACACTGTGAAGCTTGCATTGATCTTCTCAGTTTTTAGAATCCTAGAGTAATGTAGGTTGTTGGGATAATTTCTGGAGGTCAACCGGGTCAACCTCCTGACCAAAGCAGGGCTGACTTCAAAAGTAGGTCAAGTTTTTCAGGGCTGTGTCCAAACATGTTTCTAGTATTTCCAGAGGTGGGCAATTGACAACCTCTCTGGCTTCCTTTTCCGGTTTTGTAGCATCTTCAGTGTAAACTTGTCAGATACTCACTTGCTGTAGCTTGCCTGGTGCCTCTTGAAGGATCTGTCTCTGTATTTTCTGAAACGGTCCATTAGGTAGTTGAAGACTTCAGGCCCTGCAGCCTTAATATCAAAGCTGAACAAACCCAGCTCAGTCTCCTTTGAGCCATGTCATGTGTTGCAGCCTTCTAACAATCTTGGTGGTCCTCAGATGGACTTATTTCAGGTTTGTCAATGTCTGGTTTTGTACTGAGGAGCCCCAAACTGGATATTTTACTCCAGATGTGGATTACAGGTGTTGAATACAGGGGAAAAATAACTTCCTTTAACCTGCTGGCTATGCAACCCGGTACAGCCTTGGCCTTCATAGTTGCAAGGGGGAACGCTGCTGACTCCAATTCAGTGTGTCCACTCTTAGCCCCAGGTCCCTTGATTTATTATTTCTCAGGTGCAGGACTGATGAACTTAACAGGTTTTCCATTAGCACATCACTCCAGTCAGTCAAGATCCAACTGAATAGGAGCCCTCTCCCATGTTTTGGGTTGTCCTGCTGCCATCCTCCCCCCATCATTCAGTTTGGTGTCATCAGCAAACTTGATGAGGGTGCACTCTACCCCATCACCCAGGTGGGTAAGACATAAAATGGTATTGTCTGCAGTACCAACCTGTGAGGTACCCCACTTGCAGCTGGCCACCTCCTAGGTTTCAAATCATTGACTCCTAAAGTCAGAGCACCGCAGTCCACCCTGGTTTTCACCCCCATTGTGGGTTGACCGTCCACTCTGTGTTTTTGCTGTAAGTCAGGGTAAGCAACCACTGCCATCCCCTCATCCATAGGACTCATCAGAGGCGGCAGCCAGGTTGGGCTAGCATGACAGTGGTGGCTATTACTGGTCACTTTATCCCTCACGGGCCTGGATGTGGCTTTAAGGAGGATTTATTCCATAATCTTCCCAGGGACCAGCATGAGGTGAGCTGCCCTGTAGTTGCCTGCATCCTCTTCGTTTCCTCCTCTTTATTGAACATGCATGATGTGCAGAAGCGTTCATCACAATCCATCATGAAAATTATCCTCCATACAGACATTTTCCTAGGCTTCGTTCATCATTGTGGCATATAAGATTTGAAGAAAAAAGCCAACCGATTTGAATTGCTCTTTGTAAGGTGCATGGAAAACTAAATGGCAGAGCCAAGCTTCTTCAAATACTGCTCATACCTAAACTCCATGTGGGCTAGTGGGCAGTTAGGTCAGTCCCATACATCTAGGTACGTGTCCAAGCTGGTCTGGCTGAAGTCAATGTTACTGATGCATGGTCCTTCTATATGCAGTTCTTCACGCTGGAAGAAAGGGGGGCATCTCATCTTCTAGGAGGAACGAAACAGCCTGCAGCCTTGTTCTTTCGATGGTAGGCTGTTTTCTAAGCAGCTGCCCAAGGATAGCGATGGCCTTTGTTGTTGTGGTGGTCTCATCACAGTTACTAGAATAAACGCAACGCAGAATTGTAGCAAAGTAAAGCAAAAAATACTCGGATACTCATCAAGCGCTTACGAGACATGCCTTGCTGTCGTTCTAGGTGCATGTTGCATACCTTTAAAAATAGTGACCAACTGAAAGAACCGCTGTACGTGAGCAGTCATTTTGTGTGCTGGAAATGAAAGATTTTAAAAGGTTGGAAAAAGTTTCCTAAAATCGGTCCTGAAATCACTGTTAACGCCCTTGTAAGAAACTGAGAACTGTGATCTGCTAAAAGCAACATTTGAGGCTTCCTCGAGTTAGATGAAATTGAAAAGCAGGGAACTCCTTCAAATCCTCTCCAGCTGCGGTCGCTAAGAATGTGTTTGGTCAGCCTGCCTGAGCCAAACAGGAACTCTGCTTGGAGCACCGAGGCAGCGGGGCCATGCAATAAATCCCAGCCCTTATCGAAATTCTAGCCACGCTGGCTTTGGGAGGGTGATAAATGCGTAGGACAGCTGGAAACTGCACAGCAAGACATTGAGAGCATTGAGCCTTACGTAATGAGGTGGCTCGATGCAAATGAACGGTAAGTTGCAAGGTAAAGGCAATGGAAGTAGCAAGGATTTATTGAAAAACAGAAATATTTGTAAGGAGACATGCTCTGAATGCCTTTGAAATAAAAGCTCTGCTGCAGTGAATAGTTTCGATCCTAGGTGGGGCGTTGTGTCTCAATTGGAGGCTTTTCAGAGGCCAGTTTTGGCAGTCTGTATCAATCATCCCCCCTGAAAAAAAAGTTGTTTAAAGCCCAGTGCCAGAGGGAACTGCCCTCGCTAATAATATCCGAGAAGAGCAGCCGCCTCTGAACGCGTAGGTCCTGAGACCGCTGATGTCACCAGCCAGCCTGGCATCTGCGTTTAAAGGCTGGGTGATGTGCCGGCAGATCAGGCTGCTGCATCCATTCCCGGGTTGGTGCAGTCCATGCTCAGTCTTGCAGCAACTCAGCAACTCGAGCCACCCGCCAGGCAATGGGCGCACGGCGTTGCTCCCCAGAGAAATAAGGTGTGCGCTACTGCTCTTCTGTGGTAATAGCAGCGGAGCCTACACAAACCCAAATCACAAATTTGAGAAATAGCTCAAGATTTCAGTGGGACGTGAGATGAGTCGCACATTCTGTTTACTGCTGTCAGCTGGTGGTTTAACTTTTCCCTTTATACAGCTGGAAATTCAGTTCACCAGGTCTTTTTGTGTGTGTGTGTCCCTGCAATGGCATTATCAGAGAGCAGTACTGTAAAGATCAACATCTAGACATTATCAGTGTATTGGTAGCGTTGCATCCCATTATTTCCTTGCTAGCTTTCCTGATAGCCTCGTATGCAGGAGGGAGGCAGGAGACAGATGCCTTAGCTTTGCCTAGAAACATTCTTGGGAGAGGCAAGCGCCACACGTCTGCCAGTGCCTGAGAATACCTGGTAAAGAAGTGGAATCATCCAGTAGCAACCCTGCCTAATGCTGATGGGCCCCCAGGTGAGTGGTGGTGCTTCTGCTCTTCACCTGTTGCTAGAGGTGGGGATCTACTGGTGCAGCTGTAAACCTTATCCAGGTTTGTATCCATACTGGTGAGGTTTAAGGACGGCTGGGTTGCTTGCTTTCTGGGTGTTACACTATGGCCTTCTCTTGTACCTTTTATCCAAGACTGGCAGAGCATCAGTCTTGGCTACTCTTCCCCCACCCCACCCCAATTACCGCTGTATGAAAGGAGATGGTGGAGTAGCTTCCCAGAGGGAAACCAGAGTCTTTGCCCTGAGGGGTGGCCAGACTTCCCTGCTAATCAGCATGTCTGGAGTGCCTGCTGATGGTGAAGGAGGGAAGAAGCTGACTTGGTCCAGCACTGATGCCCTAAGCCCTGGACTACCACGCACCGTGTCTGCAGGGAACGTAGGTGCAGAAGAAAGTGGATTATAAGTGGTTTTCAGAAGAATTAAGGTGTTCGGGAGAGTGCTTCCCACGATGTTTATGATCCTTCCCACGATGTTTATGATCCTTTAGTGGCCTTTCACATCTCCAGTATTTTTGCAAGCTGCATTTTGTAGAAGGGAATGGGTGACGGGTTACGAATTGGATATTAAGGATGCAGTACAGTGCTCTGAAAGGATCCTGCCCTGTTCCTGAGTGTGCACGTGGGCACAGGGCATTGAAGGTTGGGGGCTGATTTTCCCTGGCTTCTGGTAGGAAGGCACTTGGAATGTTCACGCCCCAGGATTTAGGGATGTTAGAAAATTAAGAGAATACAGAAACCTGAACAAATAACAAATAATGGAAGAGAGTACACAGCAACAGAAAAGCTATTCACAACTTAAAGGTGTTTGGGTTTGTTTTTTTTTTTCTTGCTGAATAAGGCAATTCTAGGAAGCTGATGGGTCAGATTCCTGTTTGGAGCTGAAAGCAGGCCCTTTTTTTTGGTTTTTTTCTAACTCTTGTTTACAGAGTGTGCACAGAGTGCTGCTGCGCAAGCAACACCTGAGATTTCTGCAAAAAGAAACTTGCTTTGCTTTCACCTAAGAAACAGCTGTTCTGAGTCCCTGCTTCTCAGCTCCGGTGATCTCAAAGAAACACAGTTGCTTCATGTGCTTTTTGCTTTCTTCCCTCAGGCCTTCCCATTACAGCTTGGGAAATCCCTGTTCCAAGGGAAGTGAGGCCAAAGAGAATCAGGACAAATTCACTTTGCAGGCTCTTTTTGCTCCTCCCCAGCTGTTTTCCCTTCCCAGCAGTGGAGATCTCACTTCCCACCCTTCTAGGGCTGCCTGTCTGCTTCCAGAGAAGCTGTGAGACTGCAGACTGCCTCTTGGGGTTAGCACCTTGCTGCTGTCCTGTCAGCCCTGGCTGATCCTCCAGCTTCTCCCTCTACCAGACGGTTGCTGGAAGCGGAGACACTCTGCTGCTCAGCCTTCCAGGCAGCCCCAGGCTGAGTTTGGGAGCAGTGCGGGGGCATGTGCATCTTCAGACTACTTAAGACACTGGCTGTGAGCTATTACCTGGGCTGTCGCAGTCAACGGGCTGGGTTGGGACATTGCTTGGGTTCCTCACTGCAGCTGCACCGGCAAAGCCTAGTTTTATCTCTCTCCAGTAAGTTGCTCCCTCCTGAAGTCCCTGTCTTTCCTCATCAGTGAGCCGAATGCTACGTCCATGTTCATCGTTAGGACTAGATTTGGCTTGCAATAAAAAGGGCTGTTTTCTAGCTTGCTCTGGTGTAAATCCACAGCTTCTGTTCTAGCAGTAGGGTGTGTGCTGGTACTGCTACACAGTTCAAGCATTGCTATAGGAAACTTGTAGGGTAAATAGCATCAAAGACCAGTCCCATTTTCCCCCTAGAACCCAGTTACGGTGAATACCAAGACTAAAGGTTTAATTGGCTCCATATTTTTAATTATTTCCCCCAACCGGACACATCACCATGGATGCTTGCATTTTTTTCTCTGATCACCATGAAAACTTCACATTTGGGCTATGACTGACTTAATGAAACCACATTTCCAGCAGTTGTCAGATTATTGGCAAGCAGTACCTGACCCTCTTGCAGTGGCCAGGAATGAAGTGTTTTCTTTCCAAGAGAGTGATGCTCTGAGCCTGTCTGCCTGAAGGAAAGTAATTAATTAATTAATGTTCATTATGGAAATACCTTGTGTTTTTGTGTATTTCTGTCTGACCTCTTGGTCAGGTCAGCCTCTGTATGTTTTATTTCAGGTAAGCAACAGTATGTGAATTCATGGTGGTAAGAGGGTAGGTGGCTTGGAATTTGGTATTCAAAAGTGATAGAGAGTGAAGCACGTGAGCAGCAGCACCACTTTCCTTCCCTCTGGGGAAGGCTGCTCTCAAGCAGTGCCAAGAAGCTACCTACCCCATGTGGCTTTGCTATATCTCTGTGCCTGGTACCTGGGCACCAGGCCCCTGCTCCGCTGCCATTCCTCCTCTTGACTGGAAGGATTAACTTCCTTCAGGCGTCAGCTAGATCTAATTTGAGACTTTTTCATCTCTGGCATTCATCAATAGAAAAATAAGATTGCCTTAATTTAACAAAACTTGCAAATGACTCTTTACCTGAATTTTTGAAGAACAAAAATGTCTAAGACTGGAAGAAAGATTCGGTGCCATGATATGTTGCAACTGACCACCAGAACAGGAATGACTTGTAGACCGGAGATCAGCCTCAGTGTGAAGCTTGCTTCAGGCAGAATCCCATCTGTCTGGGAAGATGTCTAAAGGCTCTAGGTCTTGCTCATGTTATGTCTTAAATCCCCACCACACACTGAACCAGTTCAGTAGGTGAGTGGTAGGGAGCGTGTTTCCAGCATGGTGAGCTCCTTTTTAATCTCTCCGGAGAGGTAACTCAGCACTCTGAGGGTCTGCCTACGTTGCCTTACAGGGACCTCGGCAGGGCAGCCAAGGGGAAGGTTAGAGAAGATGGTCAGGACAGGTCCCTACGCTTCCTCCTGCCCTGCCTCGGGCTGATGGCGACTGCAGAAGCAAAAGGAGACAGAAGCCATCTGACGAGCAGCAGCTGGGAGCGGACGGGCTCTGCGGTGATCGCAGCAAAGCTCTGCAGTCTCTTTGGGGGTGCTTGGGATTGAGTGGCGTTTCAGGGGTGGGCTCTGGGCTCCTGGGTGGTGCTTCTCTGAGCACAGCATCCCTGTGCACCATGTGGGCCCAGGAGCCCAGCTGGGGCACTCCTTGTGCTGAGATGAGGGCTGCCTGGGATGTTTTGAAGAAGTAAAGCCTCCTGGCAATGCAGGGAATCTGCTGTGTTTCTGATTTTTGGAAACTGGAAAAAGTGAAGCCATATTGTATTTCTTATTGACCTTTTTTGAAATGCCAAATTTTTTCACTCTGTCACCTCTTACTTAGAAAACTTACTTCTGAGCAACTTCTTAAAACTTCCTCTCATTCTGTCTGCCAATGACTATCTATTGGATTTTCTCCCAGAATGGAAACTTCATATTCTGAGTACAGCAGTAGGGCTCTTGAATTTAAAAGTACTCTTTCACTTCTTTTAGAGTATGTTAAAAAAAAAAAAAAAGCATGAAGAGAAGCTCTGAGAACACTGCCCAGACCATGCATGTTTAAAACCAGATTATGGGTTTTCTGTGCAAGAATCAGTTAAGTGGGTGCAACCCTGTCTCACCTGTGAGAAAAACTTTTCCTTTTTGCTGAAGAACATCCCACTTCCAGGCAGACAGGGTGCAGGGGCAGCTGAAATCCCAGCTCTATGAATGCCTTTTTCATTCTTTGTGCGGACAGTGTTTCAGATTTATCATCTTCACCTCAGAGGAGCAAGGTGTGCAGAGAGTAAGGAAAGACCATCATGCCAATGGTCCCAATGTACAGATCCTTCTCTACCCCCTGCTCTACCCTGTACCTAGTCCATCTGCTGATCTTGCGTCACTTCTGGGCCACTTAAGCAATACTGCTATCGTTACTAGCCTGCAAGTGTGGTTTCCTTTGGCGTATGGTTCTCGATATGAAAATGCCCTCTAATTTAGCTCCTTGGCTGCAAGAACAAACTGGTGAGTTTTATTTTCTTGATGCAAACTATCAATTCTCACATTGGGAGGTCAATGACTAGTCTTCAGAAGGGTGGTGATTCCTGCCCTTGCCCTAAAATGTGCTCAGACTCTGTTCCCAGAGTTACTCTGGGGGTTACTCAGGGTTTGTTCAGGCTGCCCGACTGCTGGTGAAGGGTAACTAGGGAAGAGCCCTGAGGAACTGGTGGGAACTGATGGAGTTGGAAGGAAAGCAGAAGGAGATGCTAAAAAGATTGAAGACTCCAGACTCAGGAGTCTTAGCTCGCTACTCAACTCTTGTTTACATTGTATAGTGTATTATATAGGTATCTATATATCTGTGCTTATAACTGCATAACCTTGCAGTGCTTTTGGTTTTGTCCATAAGTGAAATGGAGACACTTTTGAATTCTGAGCAGGAAAAACCCCTGTTCCTTGCTCATCTGTGCAAAGGGCCGGAATGTTTAACAGAGACAAGCTCCTAAGCAGAAGTCACAGCAGAGGTACGATGCGAAGCGCTGCGGATCTGCCTGCCTGGGCACTCCTGCTGCGTGTGTACGGGCACTACAGCTGCCCGCGTGTTCCCACCTTAGTCTTCGGTTTGCCATTCCAGACGGGCAAGCGCACACCCGAGAAGCACTGCTGTTTCCATCCTGTTCTGGGGGGAAACCGCTGGCACTGGATGTAGCTGAGACAGTGGCGATGGAATCGGCAGCTCTGTCGCTGCCCCTGCCTTCCGCGGCTGGGAATTCACGTTATGGCCAAAGCAGGTCTGGGGGCACAGTCCTTCTGGTCTCGGCTTATCTCCCCCCACTTTTGACCTTTGATCAGAGGTGCACAGAGAGGGACTCACCAGCACGCTGTCAGCCTGAGCACTGAGTGCAGTGCGAGCATCACCCTTGGCTTCCACGTGCAGAGAAGCGGAGGGTATGGCAGCGATATCTGCACGTCAGGCTTCTCCAGTGCTGTGCTCGCTGTGAGCACGCCGTCCTGCGTTCGAGCTGGTCCCTGAGCTCTGGCTAGTGCAGGAGTGTCCTCTGTTTATCTCCTGTATGCAGAGCATGGTGTCCACGGACGGTCGTATCTTGCCCCACAAACAGCCTGGGTGCAAACGCGAGGCCTCTGCTGCTCTGCAGGCATCCAGCGGGGACAGAGTTTTTCTTGCCCCGGGATTCTGGCCGTTTGGGTGGTTATTTGGAAGCAGATATTTGCTAGGGAGGCTGTGTCTCAATGAGGCTGTCAAAATGGTTGCAGTGGGATCTTCCGTCATGGCGGGAACTGCAGGCTCTTGTGATGGCTTTTGGCTCCTGCCATTGTAGTTTCAAAATATACGTGCCTTTCTGGGAGGGACCTTAGTGGCTGGGGGGGGGTCCTTTGTGCTTGCTTTGGCTTCTTTCTCCACTGAGCAGTCTCCAGGTTCCTGTAATGTGCCAGCCAGTATCAGCCTCTATTTATCCCCTTTCTGTGCATATTTGTGACAATTTTGCTTGCTACAGCTGTGGTCATTTAAGCTGAATAATATTTTCAGGCTGAAAAGGCCAGTAGCAGGGTGGTTATCAGATAGAGAAATGCATCGTATTTGCTCTGGCCTTTGGTTCCTAGATAATATAACGGCAAATTGTGTTCCTGGAAGCTGCGAGGTGGCTTGCAAGATTACATAGCCCCGAAAAAGCATGGAGGCAGTTTGTCACATGTGACGGAGGAACGGAGGGGGAGGTCAGAGCAGGGAGCACAGCTGCTCGTGGTGCTCAGCAAAGGTCAGACTCAGCTGATGGCTTCTTCACCCCGGGAACGCTGAAGCAGCAGCAGCAGCAGCAGCAGCAATTGTGTCCTGGCTGCTCTCCTAGTGCTTTGCTGGATTAGGAGTGTAAATCGATTTGAAAGTTGCTGCTACTTGCAGAGCAGTAAGAGATTGTGGATGTCTCCCAGTAACCATTTCCCTCTCCTCTTTTTTCCCCCTCATCGTCCCTCTAAGTGGGTGCCTTTGAATCCCTTCTTCTTTTAGGTTTGAACCACTTCTCCAAAGCACCAGCCACCCGGAGGAAAGAAATCTAGTTAACACTCATTCCCTGCTCAGCTGGATGTAGATGTGAAGCAAGACCAGACCTGGGAGTAGGTCCTGTGGTTCCTACTGGAGCATGCAGGGCCAGCTCTCATGTGTGTCGGCTGTGTAGGATGGGGTGGGCTGGGGCCAGTTCTTGTGCACATCTGACCCAGAAAATGTCAAAGTATCTCGTTATCTCTGGAGAAAGCTCGTTCCAAGCTTACTTTGTTTGGGCTATGAGCAACTTCCCCAGGAGCGCAGCCTCAGCTGCCAGTGGAAGACTAGGTAGGACCAAGCTGAAGACAGAAATCTAGGCAAATGTTGTAAGGTAAAGAGAAAGATGAGCAAAATGCAACACATGTCAAGAGAGGAATCGACATCCTTGGAGATCGGGATTTTCCAGCCCTCGTCCTGGCTGAGGTGTGAGGTGCGTTGACAGAGACCCTCCTGGTCCAGTGCTCATGCTCTTCTCCAGAAGGGGTGTTGGGGAAAAGTGGCTAAGCCAGCTGTGCACCCCTTGTGCCCTGTGCACGAGTGCTCTGCGCCAGCAAAGGCAGCTCAGCAGCCTGCCCGGACCTGGAAGCTGCTTCAGGACCCGCTCGGGGAGGCATCGCTCCAGCACGGACTGTCCCAGTAAACGATGGGTTATGGCCCAGCCACGTGGGATGGGGCTGGGAGGAGCGTGGCTGCTCCGGCTGGCACCACATTCAGCCCTGTGCTCTGGGAGTGTTACTGAATAGGCAGCCTCCCATTTTGTACCTCCAGAAGGGAGGCCACCCTCAAAATAACCCCCGTTTGCCACCCTAGGGGGAGGCATGAGAGTGATGCACACAGGACGGGTGCCAGCATCAGCACTGCTGCTTGCCAGCACTGGTAGCATTAGGAGGAAGATGCTCTGCAGCCGCCTGCTGAGGTTCAGCTTGCACAGCTCTGGGTGGCAAACATTGCTGCAAAAGCTCTTCCCTGGTGTTCTCCTTATTCATATAAATATCATATATGTATGTGTATCCAAATATTTTTAAATGGCATTATCTCAGATCTCAAGAGGAAATTGTTTTCCTGTTACTACAGTGTGCATGTTATCTAGGCTTGTTCCTTTTTTTTTTTTTTAAAGAAATATTCACGTTCTTCCATCTCTCTCATTTGTTTCTTGCAAATCTGTTTCCTAAGGTTTTGTTTCCAACTGTCCTCGTTCTTTCATTTGGCTTAGATATGGTTACAGGCTCAAAATCTTAGACGTTGAGATTTCATCCTTTGCATTTTTCCCTTTAGATTTTCATTGCCTTTGATGGGACAATTAAAGTCCCTCCCAGTTTTTTTACCTTCTGCAATTTCAAAAATGTGTAGTGAAAACATCTTTTTCTGTAGTTTTAACTGATCCTTTGTGCTATTTTTTGGTTCTCTTCCTATCTTCAGTAAAAAGTTCAATTGTTTGTTTTTTTTTAAATCTCTCAAGTAACATCTTCCCAAACCATATGGACTCTTTCTTGTTTCCCCTCAGATGATGTGTAGTGATGTTTCACTTTAAATATGCTTCACTCAGGATTTTCCAGCTTGCTTTTGTGCTTGTAGATTTAATATTTCCCCTCGCTGCTTATGTTTATGCTGAATATCTGTTTTCATTTTCGACTTACTGTTGTGTTCAGCGCAGTCTTATCTTGCTGGGTGGAAGTCAAATAGTTTATTATTGATTACATGATTTTCTATCATCGTCTATTAGTTCCTGCCAATTAGCTGCTTGTCTTGATAAGATTATTGCCATCGCTGCGCTGCAGTGATCGTGGTTATCCAGGGATATTCGAGCAGCAATGCTGACACACAGTAGTTTTGAGAATCTCTAGGAATGCCTCCTTACATTACAAATCCTCCTTAGAATGCCTCTTCTCTCCTTACACCAATCTGTTGCACAAGGCAAGGTATTAATCAACCTTGCTGTGGTTTTTTAATCCCTATCTCCTTACCCTAATTATTTAACAACCACACTATTCACGGTGAGATGGTTTCTGCACAGGAATGTTCTCTGCTTCTTACCATCTCACATAATTCCCCCTCTGGAACATCTTCCCTGGTTTCCACCAGTCACCAATTTGAGGACTGGAGCTGTTTTATTGGGGCCATCCTGTTTAGTCACTGCTGCGGAGGAGCAGCCCTTTGTGAATTTGCCCAGTTCCTTTCCGAATGAGTCTGTGGCAATGGCCACGGGTGCCACGTTTAATTAATTACCCACAGTGGGAGGAAAAACTGTTTCCTTTTGTTTAAAATCCAAGAATTTCATCCTGTGCCAGTAGCTGTTGCACTATGAGATGTAGTGAACGATATATTCATCTTCTCTGTCTTTTCCTTGTTTCCTAGACTTCTGTTGTCACCCTCTTTCTCTCCGAGGCATCTCTTCCCGAGCCGTCGAATCATCATGTATTTGATCACTGCTTGGTTGAATCTCTTCCTTACCTTTGCCCATCCCTCTTCCCTGTCCCCATTTCTCCTGTAGGAAGTCCAGTGCTGTGTTGGGCACACCACAGATTAACATGGTGACACTATGGTGTTTGCTGCTTCGTTCCTGTTGCTCTCGTAATAACTTCTCAAACCCCCTGTATGCAGCTCAGGTTTTGCTGCTGCTTGGCAGGCATGATACAAGGACACCGAACCCAAAAATGTGATTATTTTTTTTTTTTTTTAATTCTCTCTTGTCCCAGATATTCATCAACAGATGTAATAAAAATATTTTAAAACCTTGCCTCGCTTACATCCTTGGATCATCACAGCTGTAACACACCTGCCATGAACAGCATCCCCTTCTGTTTGCCTTTTTTACGGCCTCAAAGCACAGAGCTCATGTCGTCAGGTAACTACCTGCAGTAATCCCAAGACCTCCTTCCCCAGCAGCCACAGCTAATTTTGCAGCCCAGCGTTGGGTATGCACAACTGGGGCTGTTTTTCTCCCTGCTGCATGATTTTTTCATCTGCTGCGTGACTGCCTGCTCCCATTGCGGCTTCTGGAGTGATGTCCTGGGCTGGGGCACTGCTGCTCCTGGGAAAGACCAGTGCCAAAGATCCCTGCACGTGAGGGGAGAGAGTTTATAACCTGCCAAATTTCTGAATTGAGGCTGTTTTGGGCCCATAGCAAGAAGCAGCAGAGTTTATTTCCAGCTCAGAGCTCTGCTCCTGCCCGTGGCACAGCCTGGCTGCTCCCCTGGGCATGGTGCATCGGGCTGTGATGCAGGACATTGCCCTGTGCCAGCATCCTCCCTGCCGAGGACAGACCCCACCATGAGCATTCACAGCCAATTTGTGTTTTGGCTCTTACCTCTTCCCAGCAGGTCTCGGGGCTTTGGCTTCCATCGGGCAGAGCTGCGAGGGCACCTGGGTGCGGTGGTCGCCTGCACCTCCAGGGACAGCATTGGGCAGAGGGGTGATGTTGGCAAGCAGGAGCCAAGCGGTCCCCAGCCCCGCAGGGAGAGTGCTGGCGGAGGCAGCGTGAGCCCTTCTTGCAGGCGGGGGGGAACGAGCCCCTTTGCACTGGCCATGAAATCAGTCATGTGTAGGTTTTTGTCCAGCCCTGGGGGGTGGGGGAAGGAATGTGGGTTGGGCGAAGTCTAGGATTACACCACTGCTGAATTTTTCTTTCCACACTTTAAATAGCCAGCACCTTTCGGTCCTGCCTTTGCGTCTCCCGTTGGCTCACGCCCTGACAGCACCATCCGCAAAGGTAACACCTCTGCCCCTGTTTTCTTTTGCCCTGCTCCCCCCGCACCCCACACCCACTCGGGTCTGCCGTGGATTGAGAGGTCACGGTGCGCTTTCTGCCTGTTTAATAATTTTCTAGCGTGGAGGGGTCCTCCCAGTCCTTCCTTGTGGCTGCTGTCAAATGCCTGCCAGCGTTTCTTGCTCCTCTTCACGTCCCGAAGTGTTTTACAGGGGACTGTATAGGGGGAGGGGAGAGGTTGAAAGTGCTGCTTTGCCTTTCTTTTTTTTTCCTTTTCTTTTCTCTCCTCTCCCTGGATGGGGGAGAGTTTTATTTGCTGCCAGTGCCTTTTCCTGCTCTCCTGGCAAGGGACTTGCAGGCGGGAATGAATGGCAGCGTTAGGCTGGGGCTGGGAGAGCTGCCTCTGCGGGCAACAGCGGGCTCGAGGGCCAGCACCATGCAGAGGAAGGTGCCCTCCTTGGCATGAGGTCCTCTGCAATCTCAGCTTTGGCACCAGGCGTTGGTGGGAACCCTTTGCCCCCGTGGGACTCGGCGGCCAGGAGGGTGTCCTGCCCATGAGGAATGGCCCCAAACACCCCCTGATCCCCCTAAATGGCTGCAGCGGAGCTGGTGCCAGCCGCGGCACCTGTGTCTGTCTCCTCACCCTGCCCTGCACCAGCAGTCATGCTATGCCCTGGCTTTCCTGGGAGGAGAGGTGTCCTCTCGGAGGGTTTTGGGGGAAGAGGTGCCCAGCTACTATGTGCCAATCTTGTGTGTCCCTTAGCAGAGATCTGTTTAGAGACAGGAGAAGCTCTTGCAGGGCCAAAGCTTCCCGAGAGCGGTGCTGTGGGGAGCCTCTGCACCTCTGCAGGCAGCGGGCAGATATTTGGAGGGGCAAACCCTGGGAGAGGAGAGTCATCCCAGATGGCCATGGCATCTGCACCCTTTCTTTCCCTGCAATTACAAGGATAGAACCATCCTGAAAAATCACCTTCTCTCACAGCCTAGTAGATTGCCAACAACAGTTGCCACCGCCAAAAGCAGAAACTTGTTTCCCTCTTATTTCAGTTTGTCCCCTTCCTACATCTACGACTTCTCTGTGTTTTATGGCTTTCATTACCTGGCCTGTAAAACCCGGCCTTGGTGAGCAGCAAGAGGGGAGAAGGGAAACCCTTATAAAATATCCTGTCAAGTATTTGATCCTGTTCTCATCGCTCTCCAGCCCTAAGTCTGTTCCCAGTATCTGCCACGGTGAGAGCTCCAGCCTGGCTGAGCCGCTGGGTCTCCTGTGTACTGCTGTGCTTAAAGGATGGGCTTCCAGAGGCAGGAGTGTTTTGAGATGAATCAGTTAAAAATAATGCAATTGGTAGTGGCTTTTAAGGACTAGTTTTGGACTAAGCAATGAAAGTGCATGCATGTTCTTAGCACCTT